AGATGTGTATAAGTAAGTACCCATGACGTCATCGTTACCGGCCTATCGATGCTTTCAAATAAGGGCGTACGGATGACGTCAAGGTTCCAAGTACCCATGACGTCATCGTTATAGTTGGTTTATAAATAAGCGACGGAACCTTTCTATCCATTAAAACTAAGCAATGGCCGGGCAAGACGAATCATCGTATCGCGGGATGTTGGTGAACGTCGATAGGTACCTCGAGGATCGAGATGTTGTGGCTCTGAAGTACTTATGCCTGGATGAGAGCATCGGTCTCAGACATGGCGAATTGGAAAAAGTTACCAGAGGCATTGAGTTAATGAATAAACTAGAGGATAGAGCATTACTTTATTCATCGAGATTGGAAATATTTATCGAGCTTCTGGGACTGATAAGGCGTTCGGAACTTCAACGCCATGTTTTGGACTTTCGAGGGAGCACGGAAGGACTCGGTGAAAAGATAATTTCACCGTATAGGTATGTAATTCTCTTTTTTTAAATCGTTTATCTTTAGAGTAAAAATATTTTTTTTTCTCGCCAATGATTGCCGAGCTAATTTAATATTGTTTTTTCCCCCATAGGGCCATGATACTTGATTTTGCTTCTGGAATCAACGAAGAAGAGTTGAAATCGTTGAAACCGAGATTGAAATCGACCATACCCGCAAGAACTGTTGAACGACTAAAGGAAGCCATAAGATTGATGATTGAATTGGAAAAACTGACAGTGATCTGACCTCGACAGGTTGATTTTCTGTTTGAAATTGCTGAGTATTTAAAAAGGGATGATCTCGTGTTAAAATTAAATGATTATAATGCAGGAAAATACGATTAGTTCAACGCGATAGCTGTAATCATAATCCGTGTGTTTCCGAATATCTTTTCGAAAAAATAAAGTTTTTGCTAGAAAAAATCGAAAATTAGACTATTGGTTGTTGTTCTTCTTAGCCTGATAGTGTTTGACTTATGTAACGACTGACGAAAGAGGAAGGGTTTGGAACAGGACTTTTAATTAAACAAGAGGAAAATCGAAAATTAAATACACACACACGCAAAACATCTATTATAATCTGTTTTTTGTTTATAAAAGCTTACTTCGGCCTTCGGCCATGAGCTCGTGACGTCAAGTGTCTAAGAACCGATGACGTACGCTCACCGTACCACGAAAACAAAATAAAAGTCGAGTTAAACTGATTCCATCACACTCGTAAAGCTAACGACATGAACGAGACACTTGGCCGGACGACGACTGCGACAAAGAACACCGACGATGTATGTGTCGGCGGAGCCTCCTCCGAATCGGACCGGCTGCGAAAGAAAGAAGAGGAAATCGTTTCCCTGAAAACCGTAGTGCAGAGCATCGACGTGCTGAAGCTTTTGCTGAACGACTACGGAGGTTCGATAGATTCGTTGAAACTGCAACTCAAGAAGAAGAACCTAAGCATCGAGCACTTGCAATTCAGACTGCACAGAAACAAACTCGATTCGTCGGTCGATCTCAAAGAGCACGAAGTTTTCGTGCCCGGACACGACAAGGAGGTTCTCAACCAGCTGCTGAGGGAGAACGTGAGATTGCGAACCGTCGTGAACTCGAATTACAGTTCCGAGGAAGTGGCGGAAGCAAAGAAGACGATCGCCGCTCTCAGGATAAGGATCGCCGAACTTTCGTTCGAGGTCCGCACGAAAGATAAGGAGCTGACCGAGTACCTGAGCGCTACGAATTCTTCCGACTCGGAAAAGGACGTCGCTATTAGAAAACTGACGTCGGAGCTGAAGGAGTGCTACGGACAGCGCAATTACGCCGACGACGTCCGTCGAACGCTCTGCCGCGAGATCGAACGGATGAGATCGAAGATCGACGATCTGGTAACGGGAAAGATCGACGTGGCTCGTTAGCTGAGGGATTACGAACGAAGGGAAAAGGATGTCGGCGAGCAGAGAAATGTAGGGTCTCTCTCATCGGAAGATCGATGCAAGGTCTTGGAGGAACAAGTGTCGAGCTTGGCCAGGGAAAACGCCGAACTTTCGAAACAGCTGAAGGAAGTCATAAGCATGAACACCAGATGGCAACGGTACTCGGATCAACGCGAAGCTCACGTCATCAAGCTTACGGAAGAAATCCAGTCGCTTTCTGCGAGGAACGAAATGTTAGAGAGGGATTGCCGCGAACTGCGCGTGGGCCTGGATAAGAAATGCCGAGAGCTTGATGACTTGCGTTTCGCAAAAACTAACGAAAGTTCCGTCGTCGGGAAAGTTTCGTACGAGAAGGAAGAGGAGGAGGAAGAGCCGTTGAGATGTCCCAGGTGTTTCAAAGCTTACACCGTCACGGAACACGCTTCGTTGATGGAGCACGTCTTCGATTGCGGCGGCGGACACGACGAAGATTTCGATGTAGATGTATTTTATTAATGAAAATGAAAATAAATAACACAAACAAACCAAATTTAACGTTTCAAGCTTCATTTCTTTTATTGCATTTACTAATTCAATAGTTTACAAATTACAACATTTCCTCAATCAAATCTTCCATGATGTGGGCGAACGCGCGATCCAGTTTGGTCGGCGACACGGGTGTGTCGACGACCGAAGTCTCCCTGAGGGATTGTAGAACAACCATTCCCGTTCCTCGTTCAACGCCAGATCGTTCTCCATGTATTTTTCGACCGTTTCAATCCTTCGGTCGAGTTCCTTCATGCTTCTGTGCGATCGCAACTTGAAATCCTTCTTCCACTTCTCCGCCAGATCGTGGCGTACGACGGACGCCAGACAATTGGCCAGATCCTCCACGCGTGTCGTCGCGTCTTTCGTTCTCTTTTCGACGAGCTTCTTCGTTTGCTCGAGTTCCCCTATCTCCTGTCGGACAGACTCGGCTATGTCGGTTGCGCGAACGTCTCCGACGGATCCGTCCGTCAGTCGCAGAGCGTACCCTTTTCTGACTGTCTCTCCGGTGGTGCCTAAACACAGGGTCACGTCTATCCACAAGGAGTTGGATTGCGGGCAAGCGACGATGTTCGGTTTCAACACCTTCCGCGTGCAATTCGAGATTTCGCAGATCGAATTCAAGAGGATCGGTTTTGGCTGATTGCACAGTTCGTAGAGGAGGTGAAACGTCCTGCTCGTCGGCTCGTTCGTCTCGAAAATCATCACGGCGTACAGGCGACTTTCGTTACAGTCCTCCCTCAGGATCCTCCACCAGAGCACGGAAGGCTTGCCGCATACACCGCAGTCCCTGTTGAGGTCGAACGAGCATTTTCCACGTTTTGCTTAAGGTCGTCAGCGTCGGTCGATTTCGATCGGGTCCGTAAATTTCGTTCAGAAGTTCGCCGACCGTTCTGTCGAACGTGAAGGGTTCGCACAATCGCAGCACACCCATCCAATTGGCGTTCGGTATCTTGCCGTCTCGGTGATACAGCAGCAGATGCTTGACGAACAGATTTATCTCC